TGTGTGTATGTGTGTGTGTGTATGTGTGTGTATGTATGTGTGTGTGTATGTATATGTGTATGTATATATGTGTGTGTGTGTGTATGTATGTGTGTGTATGTGTGTGTGTGTGTGTGTGTGTGTGTATGTACAATTGTTCCACCTAATGTCTCTTTCCTCCCACCCTGACGTCTCCAGACCAGATTCTATCCTCGGATTCTGCTCCCCCTTGAGAAACTTAAAGGAGCAGGGAAATAATTGTTAAAAAGGATAGAAAGACTTCAAGTCCCTGGTGCCTACTTCTAAAACACAAACGCACATCTTTCTGAAAACCATCAAGAGGCTCCTAAAGCCCTGTGAATACAGCATCTAGTTGAGAAAGTGTAGATGGATGGCCGAGGTTTTCACGGAGAGTGGTAAGTGCTGCTGTATAGACAACATGCATCCCCTCAGGGCTTTCCGTAATGTTAGTCTGTGAGGGACATAAAAATACACAAGTCTCTGCTCTTGGAAAACATACATCTAGTGAAGAAAAAATAAAGCCATTAAACCAATGTCATCTCCATATGACATATAATTAGATAGACTTAACATATACATATGTGTGTGTGTATGTGTGTTTGACCATTTACCTGTATATGTTTGTGATATGTGTATGCAGGTATGTACGTATATGTGTTTATTTGTCAGCTGACATATATTTGCAGTGCAATTATGTCTTTGGACATAATTAAATTATGAATTTAAACGGAGGTGAATTTAGGAATTCTTACACATCGGTGTGACTTTGGAAATCATCATAAACAGAGTTGGGGTTCTTTCCCTGCCTGCCACCTCAGAACTCCATGGATTGTGTGAGGCTCTCCGAGAACACTGAGTACACAATCACCCACAACCCTCTGCCCTCCCCCATTGCTGCCATGTTCTCATCAAGTCACTGGGGACATAACTTTTCTGTAGGTTTTCCTAAAACCAATCACTGAAACATGCAAAAACTGTTCATACAGAGCCATACAAAGACACGGATCAGGACAGATTGGGCCTGTAGACTTTAGTTTATCAACCTTTGGCTTCATCGGAACTCCATTTCCCTAAGAGAACAGAGACTCATCACAGGCAGGTAGCGATGGTCTCGGAAGACCTAGGACCAGAGCTTGGTTCCATCCACTAGCTTAACCAAGCGAGGCCACAGAACCACGAAAGGTGTTAGCATATGCCTCCGTGGCCCTCTCTCTTTCACGGTAACTATGGCTTTGGGACCCCTGCCAAGGCTGACACAGGGAAGTCTCTACCTTTATCTCCATCCTGCTCGTTGGAGATTTTCTTCAGGTCGATGAAGTGGGTTGCCAGGGCTACGTCGCTCATGCTGCCTTCATCCCAAACCTGAATTTTCACCCTCCGGCACAAGGGAGGGAACATTTCCTTGAAGACCACCTGTTCGTGCCAGACAGGATCAGCACAGTTCTTTTGCACCGAGGTCCGCCCCTAGAAGCACAGCCACGGAGATGTGAGCCATGAAAATAAATGGCTAAAAAACACTTCAAACCACCTGGGGACTTAAAGGGAATTACAAAGATGGGCTTGCTTCCCATGACACCTATGGAAGTCGACTGCACCCCAGTAACATGACTGGTGACCTAGATTTTGCGTGGAGCATGGGGCAAAGGTGAACTGCTGTTCTTGGAAATTTCTACTCAGCAGATAAGTGTTGGGGTGAACACCTGTGTCATGAATCCTACATCTCCAGGTAGGCAGCAGACACAGCTACACCCTGAGTTCATGCCTGCATAAAGACCCGGGTTCATGTAACATATGTATGGCCTTGAGGGAATCGATGCTGCAGCCTGGGCCTCAGTTTCCTTGCTATAAACGGGAATGATGTCCTCTATGCCCCCCAAATTCAACCCACGTGAGAAACACTCCAGCATTCGCTCCTGCTGATGGGAAGGGACAGGGACTTTTGTACTTTCAAAATACGGTCAAAGTTTCAAAGTCCAGTCAGGCAGAATGCAGCTTTGGCCATGAACCTAGGCCTTGGTTCTTCCCATGGCTCTCGAGACAGGAACAGAGGTATCTAGGGTCATATAGAAGAAGAACTACCTGGAACACTGAAATGTGTCAGGAGAGAATGGAAATTCTGCGGGGCCTAGGGCCTGGCACTTGCTTAGAGAAGCAGCCAGCACTGAGAAAAGGTATTTTTTGACCTGGCCCCAAGCTGCAACACATCCAGCCATAGCCCCTTTTCACAATGTCCAGGGATTGTGAGTGGGCAAACCTCCTCTACACTTCCCCGTCTGGTGACAAGGCTTTCTCTGGAGTGCTATTAACCTAATTTCATTTGATTAAGAATGTTCCCGATGCAGAGCAGGTTATAACTGTCACTATTGGTGACCAAGTTTCCTCACCGTCTGCCCAGCAAAGGACACCTCCACGAAGGGATCCACCAGGTCCTTACTGTCACCCACAAATGCTTTGGTGACGTTTGCCATAATGCTGGAGTTCATTTTGGGTAGCCCCTCTGCTCTATAGAGCCGCACATAGAATCTGGCCCAAGGTCTCTCTGATGGGAATCCTTGAGGGATCAAAAGGTTCCTAGAAGGGAAAAAAAGATTTTTAAAATAAAAAGGTCTGTCCCTCCAGAGTAGGTAGGAAGGGCAGGTGCCTGTTGGAGGCAGAAAGAAAAATCTGGATACAGAAAAAACTCTGGGATTCATCACTAAGCCAAGTTTTCTTTCTAGTTCTTTCTAGAATTTAACTTTTTATTTTTTTTTTTTATTTTTTTTTTTTGCTATAAACCAGTGGTTGAAAGTACAGTTCTTTCTAAGAAAAACCAGCTCCACATGGATAGATCATATAATCTCAAGAGTGGCTTATTTATATAATGCATACACTTAAGGCTGGGGCGAACATGGAAAAGGGGGTAGAAACACCTCAAGAGCCAGAGGACAACTGTTGCAAAATAGTCTTTTCTTTAAACAACAACAAAAAAGACACAAGTGGGGGGCACAGGGAAGAGGGGTTTGATCTGGGAGGTGTGGGGGCGAGGAGTCCGGGGTGAACAATATGTGAAATTCTAAAAGAATTAATAATAGCAATAATGATAGCAATAGGACGGGTTATCGGAAATAAGCTGTTATTTTACAGGGAAACAGAATCCGAGATTGCCCCAGAATCTGAGCTCCCAAAAGAGCCACAGCTTTGAGAAGATGTATTCAGGGGTCTCTAGGAGAGCAGTCTCTGTTGGGCAAGCCGTGAGCTTGGCGGCACTCTCCTGGCACCCCCGCATGGAAGGAGTGGAAAGGGGAAATAGCATAAAGCGGGGCATAGAATTTCTCTTTTAGGGTCCCGGATGGATCTGTCTCACTTCTCAACTTGCTCCTCGGCGTCGAAGGTTTTGGGGTTGGTCTGTAAGACGTCGCCTTTCCCCGTCACACTGATGTCACACTTCAGGTAGCCCTTGGTGCCAGTCCTGATGTCACCAGGGTCTGTAAGCAGTGCCCACTTGTCGCAGAATTGATGACCTATGAACACACCTTGTTAAGTTGTGGCTCCCTCATCCCTTCCCGCGCCCGCAGGCTCCTGGTCCCCTCCTGCTGCTGCTCAACATAGTAGCCATTTCCAGAGATTCCCGGGTCCCCAGGCTACCCACTCTCTTCCTCTCCTCCCTCCTCCTCCTCCCAGCTTGTGACGTTCTTGGACTCCCAGCTTTGCAGAGCAGAGAGTAAACCGATGAAGAGCAAGAAAGCAAGAAGGCAGGGGCGGGGCTCGCTTACCAGGCTGGTTGTACACGGTCCCCACGTCCACGCGGAAGGAGCCAATCAGGATGCTTCCGATCAGCTTGTGATGTAAGACCTGCAAAGGATGGACGCCAAGCCTGACTCGTTTGTCCTTGGGGATACGGCTGTGAACCGGGCTCAGAATTCACCAAAGGGGCTCCGAGGACTTGACCTTTGTCTGGGCTTGACCTTGTCCAGAGCACAGTGAAATTGCTCATCAACCCACAGGGTCCTGAGTCACCTGGAGAAGAGTCTCATCTGTGCCTCTTTTTCTAGCAGCTTTGTGGCTCAGCTGCTGAAGGATGCATGACACTCAGTGCCCCAAAGGTTTTATCTGTCTGTCTGTCTGTCTATCTATCTATCTACCTATCTATCTTCCGGTTTTTCAAGACAAGGTTTCTGTAGGAGCATCTTGCCTTGCCAGTGAATTTGTGTTAGTGACCACACCCCTTTGGGTGTGGCTTCAGGTGCGTACATGACCGAAGGGGTGTGGCCACTAACACAAATTCACTAGCAAGGAGAGATATTCCTATAAGTTTCAGCTCTGGCTGTCCTGGAACTCACTTTGTATGCCAGGCTGGCCTCGAACTCACAGAGATCCACCTGCCAAGTGCTGGGATTACAGGCGTTCCACCACCACCCGGCTGCCCCAAAGGTTCTTTAATCAAATGAACCATATCAAGCTACCTCAACATCCATCTCTTCCTGTTCAAACTTGCCCATCCTTCAATGGCTACAGCAAATGTCACCTCCTCCAAGAGTCTGTCCTTAGTCTCCCGAGCTGCCACTGTTCCTTAGCTTCCAAAACATTTTTCACAACTTTCTTGAGAGCTTATCGTGCCTTGTCAGATGTCTTGGCATTGAACAATAGAGTCGATTCTGTACAGCATGGTGTGTGTTTGTCCTGATTAGCAGTCAGCAGAGGGTCTAGCTGGGTTGCAGCAGCTAAAAGGCTGCTGTAAAGGAAGGCTGCAGAGTTGGCGCCTTATCTAGTGTGCAAGCAGCTGATGAAAACCAGGAATAGTTTAATCTTCAATCCAAAAGGGGGGGAGCTGTCAGGAAGAGGACAGTGTGGGTGAAGTGCCCTCAAATTTGGGGAGTGTTATATCAGAAAAGGGAGTCAGGTTCCCTGGGTGGTCAAGTAACAGGTTGAGATTTCAGCTCAATTAAGGTTTTTTTTTTTTTGATTTTTCGAGACAGGGTTTCTCTGTGTAGCTTTGGAGACTCTCCTGGAACTCGCTCTGGAGACCAGGCTGGACTCGAACTCACAGAGATCCACCTGCCTCTGCCTCCCGAGTGCTGGGATTAAAGGTGTGCGCCACCAACGCCCGGCAAGGATGCCATTTCTTATGCCAGTTAGAATCTCTCATCAGTGAAGGGTTCCTTCTCCAGAAGTAGTGGCATCCCTGTCACTGGAACCCAAGAACTCCATGTAATGGTGGAAGTGCCTCTGGGATTCGTACTAACTATCAATCCTATGATTTCCTTGATCGAGGGTAGAAGTCCCTTCGTATTCTACCCCCCTACATGCCTCATTCATAACGAATATTCAATGAAGTCTCCTTGAGTGGGTTAATGGATGATTGAAAGAAGGGTGAATAGGCTCTTGTAGCTTCCGAATGACTCTTTTTTGTCACAGGTAATAAGAAAAAGTAGTCATCTCAAGAAATAACAGTCTCTCTCTCTCTCTCTCTCTCTCTCTCTCTCTCTCTCTCTCTCTTTGCTGTCTGGCTGTGATTTTCCAGTGTCGACAGAGGGGAAGCAAGGACACCTTGGCTTCAGCGGAGCAGCTATTTAAGACCACACACAAAGCTGCCTCTGCTCCCCACCCCTTTTTCTGTGGCTAACACGACTCCCCGAGGTCTGGGGAGGATGTCACAAGTTCCTTTTGCAAGGTAGATGTCACTGTGACAGATGGAATCAAGTCCTCAAGTGATTCTCCCAGTCACACAGGAGACCTCTTTATGGTAGCTACCTGCTGGCTGAGTGCCAGCCAAGCCTACAGAAGTTGGCTGTGAGATTACTGATGGAGAAGTGTCACACACAGCATCCCGAGGACCTGGGTTCCTCGGACCACCGTTAAAGGAAAATGGTCCATGGTACCACAGGAGCGTATTATCATATCCAGGCTATCCCAAGAGCATCGAATTACAGTCACCCCCACCCCTCTTAATAATATTTCTAATTTATTATTCCAAGAATTTCATAGAAATATACAATCATTTTTATCATATCCACCCCATTTTCCTCCCCAAACAATTTCTGGAACCCTCTAACATGTCTGCCTAGTCGGGCGTTGGTGGTGCTCGCCTTTAATCCCAGCACTCGGGAGGCAGAGGCAGAGGATCTCTGTGAGTTCGAGACCAGCCTGGTCTACAAGAGCGAGTTCCAGGACAGCCTCCAAAGCCACAGAGAAATCCTGTCTCGAAAAACAAAAACAAAACAAGAAAAAAAAAGTCTGCCTCCCAAATTCATGTGTTCCCCTTTTTATATCCCACTGAGTTCAATTAATGCTGTTCAATTTGGGGCCACCCACTAGAACATAGGCAACCTATCAGTGGCCATACTCCCAAAGAATAATGTCACTGCTTCCTCCAGAAGCCATCAGCTGCCAACAGTGCCTCCGCTTAGGGGAGGAGCCTCGTGAGTCCTTGTGCCAGTCACACTGGAATTTGACTGGCTTGTTCCTGCATACGCAGCAGTTTTGTGACTGCGATGGGATGGCAAACATTTTCTGATTGAATTTGAGGACTGGTCCCCAGGAGAGAATTTTTGCTTAGTAACAGAAAACCTGGCCAGAAGTCCATGGAGGGGGAAGTGACAGTCCCTAAAGGGAAACCTACTATTGTTATTTTTCTAAGTTGCCATGCTGTCAAACTGCCTTCTAAATACTTACATTTACACATAGAAATCTGTGCTGCTCTCTGCCTTGGTCAGATAATCTTTTTGCAGTGAGCCGTGATCGATAGAAGGACTCATAACCGTCAAAGAGCTAGGAACACGTGACCATGAGTCATCTCCCTTTCTTTAACACTGAATTCGTTTGGGGCACACTAGTTTCCAGTTTATGAGCCAGCAGAAGAATTTCATTAAACATAAGAGGGAAAGTTTTCCATTAAAATCTTTAGTTTCTCTCCCCAGGAGTCATTTAAGAACTACAAGACTATCTTCTCTCAAAGAAGGAACGAGGCAGGCAAATCAGCTTTGGTCCTAGGTCTAAAATCCTGGGTCCCTCATTTAGTCATGACTCTTGCCCACGGTACGACTTAAAGGCCTGGTGATGAACTTCAGCAGCAGCCTAGCAGGTGCCTCAGGAGCTGCCACAAGGCCAGGGTCATCAGGTGACTGCAGGAGTGATGACACAAAGTCTTGGGAGCCATCCCAGCTCCCAAAATATCTTCCGAGTCCTTGTTAGCACACACACCAAATGCTAAGGATGTTTGCCCCTCGGTGTTTTTCATGCCTCAAGAGTCACCTTCTTCAAGTGCTCCTGGGCAGAGCAATGTCACACCGCTAGAGCCGATGCCTTACGAGGGGACTTGTTGACATTCAGCTGCAGTTAAAAGGTCACAGATTACATAGGTGTTGACCTAGTGTGTGTGTGAGTGATAAAAACAGGCACAAAGGACAGACAGGGAAGAAAACTTCCAGGATGAATGTCAGCCCCGCAGTTCCCATCAGAGTTGGTTTGACTGTTGAGGGAGCGTTACCTTGTTCCCCCGAGCACTTTTACTGGCATAGAATAGGAGTTCCGTTCCTTGAGAAGTCTCTGGAAGATAGCACCTATTTACTCGTCACCCTCACACCCCTCTTCATGGAAGAAGTGGCTGTTTTCTGAGACTGATAGATGTCATCACCTGCCACCCGCTGTCCTCTGTCCCTTTGCTGACCAGTGTGCAGTTAGTTGGTAATGGGCCCAGTTAGCCATTTCTGATCTCAGTGGGACAAGTTGACTTCAGCATCCATACTCTCCCTTCCCGTTCCTGCCATCAGTGTTCTGGGCGAGCCTGGATAAGGCCCCCAGCAAGCCAGGGAAGCTCTCACTATGTCTACTCTTCAGTCTGGATTGGTGGATAAACTTCCTCTCTCTGGAGGGGCCGAGGAAGATCTGTCCAGCAGATCCAGCTCCCCCTGCAGCGACTCTGAGGTCCACACTAAAAAAGGCGGCAACTTTTCAAGAATGCCAGAACGCTCCAGATAATGCCTCTCCTTAAGCATGACCAGTGATGGGATGGACATTTGTGGTCCTTCCACGGTTTCTATTCCTGTTTCTGTATTTATCACTAACTAGGAGAAGAGATGGCTGTGATTAATTAGTGCAGATATCATCCCAATAGGAAAACATCACTTAACTTGCTTTTTAAAAATATCTGAAAAATGGCAGTCAATTAAGAAGATGTCATCTGTAGCATATGTTTCCCAGTCTCACACCCAATTAGCAAAAGTTTACTGTAGTTTACTGCTTGCTTCCAAGAAGCAAAGATTCTCTTGAGATGGTTTTCCTTCCAAAACTCCTACATAAAGGGGATTTTAAGCGTTAGCCAGCTACTTCTACAGGCGCCAACCCATCTTTATCCCATGAACCCGGGCATCTCTAACCAGGCTGAGTTGCCCCAGGAAGTCCCCCGCGCCTGGAGTCTGTCCTGCTTCACCCCAGTACCACCACTCGCAATGGTATACTTACTGAGATTTTGATGATCTTGTCAAAAAGATGCACTTGGGGTCCAATGAAGTCAAACACAAAGTACTGAAAGACATGAAGTTCATTGAGGTCACCAACGCCCAGTTTTCATCTAAGGAGCTTGTTCCTGGAGAGGGTTAGAGCTGCAGCTCTAATCCACTGCTACTTTGTCCTTGTAGGCACCAGTAAATCATCATTTGATTGGCTTGTCCTCTGCTGAAGACCCTTTAGGTTGTTTTCAATTGTCTTGCACATTATTTTATATATTATATATAAAATGCCACCCATCACATTCTTGTATAGGATAACTATAATTATTTCTCTAGAGTAGGCAAAAGTAGAATTTTTGGATCATGGATTGTGCCCATGGGAAGTTTTAATAGTATTTAAACTTCTTTCCTGACGGACTAATAACACAATTAAAATTTTACATGCGCATAATTCATGATCCAAGATTTCTACTTATGTCTATTAGCTACTTTTCTGTTGTTATGATAAAAATACCATGGGCAAGGCATGAAAAAAGGAGTCTATTTTTGCTTATGGTTTCAGGGGGACAAGAATCTGTCGCTGTGGGGAGGTTTGGCTCTGGAGCAGAAAGCTGAGAGTTCACGTGCCAACCACAAACACAAATCAGAAGGACAAACCTCCACACAGCACCAGGTTTTCATCTCAAAGCCCACCTCCAGTGACATCCTTCCTTCAGCCAGGCTGCAACTCCTAAACCTCCCCCAGGCAATGACACCAACTGGGGGCCCAGTGTTCAAACACCTGAGCCTATGGGGGACACTCTGATTCAAGCCACCGTAAAAGGCATTTGACATTCTGGCTCTTGCTGTGTCTTTTCCAACCCTTGATATCATTAGCTCTTCATCTTTTTGGTTTTCTGTTTTAATTTTGAGCAAACACATTTAAAATCTTTCTCGGGATTTTTCCATTTCAAACATTCTTGTAAAATTACCAAGAGTAATCATGGAAGGAATGAAAAAAAGATGAATGATGAGAAAAGTTATTAAATTCTAGAGGTAAAGAATTACCTTGGGGCTGGCAATATGGTTCTGTGGTAAAGGCATTTCTCCAGAATCCACGTGGTGGAAGGCGAGAACAGATTCTTGTAAGCTGCCCTCTGGCCTCCATATGGATACCGTGACGCACGCAGATGTGTGCACATGCTCGCACATAGATAAATAACTAAAGTGTAAGAATTGTCTGTATGGATCCCCAAATTTGCATATAAGAAAGCTGATGACCAAAGAGCTTAACAGCCAGTTATTTCTGGCTCCCTAGGACAAGATAAGTAATGGAAGCTTCATAGAGGTTGAGTCGTGCTGGATTTAAAGGCACAGAGATTTGGGGAGCTGTCTGCTCGAGGTGATTGGATGGAGGAGGAACAATGGGTGGGCTAGGAAGGATTGGATGTGGCCTGGGTTCTCCCCTTTGCTTTGAGGCAAAGAGATAAATGAATGATAAATTGTGGATGGGCA